AGCTTAGATTTTTGAAGGAGAATTAAAAGTTAATAACTTAAAATTGCTAAAATCTACATGATTTGCCATCGATGAAGGAGCAATGAACTTGAAACTACTTCTATGGCGTTGCAGAGCATGCGAATGAATGAGCTGATGAGAGGATTGTGAGGAAATGATAACTACTACTTCTCTTCATTAACAGTACAAATATATCATGTGATGTGTTGATCAGCTAGCTAACTCAACTAAGGCTCAACTACGTTTTTGTTATTGTTGATGACTACTCACGTTTTACATGGGTGATTTTTCTATCTCACAAAGATAAAGCTTTGAAATATTTTGAGAGCTTCTGTAAAAGAGTTGAACGAGAAAAGGTATATCTTATTACAACCACTCAAAGTGGCCATGGAGCAGAATTTGAAAGAGAGCATTCGAAGACTTCTGCAATGATCAGGGATACACCCACAACTCCTCAGCTCCAAGATCACCTCAACAGAATGGGATAGTGGGCGGAAAAACGAAACTACTGCAAGATATGGCGAGAACTATGATNTATGTGTACAAACTTGATAAAGCACTCTATGGGCTCAAGCAAGCTCCTAGAGCATGGTATGAAAGATTACCAAAATTCCTGCTTGAGCATGGCTACAAGAGAGGTAAAATCGATAACACTTTATTCTTGAAGGAAAAAGGTAAAGACCTTCTAGTAGTACATATATATATGTTGATGACATAATCTTTGGAGCAACTACTGATAAATTAAGTAAGGAATTTGCTAAACTAATGGGGAGTGAATTTGAAATGAGTATGATGGGTGAGCTTAATTTCTTTTTAGGCTTAACTTAAATGGAACAATGATCCATCAGCAGAAATATGTGAAAGAGTTTCTTAAAAGGTTTAAAATGGAAGAATCAAAACAAATCGATACTCTTATAGAAACAGCCACACAATTGGATAACAGAAGTTGTATAGGGAAATGATTGGTTCTCTTTTGTATCTTACTGCTAGCAGACCTGACATTATTTTCAGTGTAGGTCTTTGTGCTCGATTTTTCAGGCAAATCCAAAGGAGTCCCACTTGACTGCTGTCAAGAGAATATTGAGATACTTGAAAGGCACCACTGACCTTTGCCTTTGGTATCCAAAAGGTAGTAATTTTAACCTAGTAGGATATGCTGGCGCTGATTATGCAGGTTTCCTTGTGGATAGGAAGAGCACCTCAGGTATGGCACACTTCTGTGGTTCATGTCTTGTGTCATGGGCTACCAAAATGCAAAATTCAGTGGCCTTATCTACTGCTGAAGCTGAGTATGTTGTTGTTGTTTCATGTTGTGCTCAATTGCTGTGGATCAAGCAACAATTATTGGACTTTGGAATTGATATTGGTTGCATCCCTATATTTTGTGATAACACTAGTTGTCGCGCCCCCTTTTTTCCCTCCGCGGAGAGAGATCCGGGTTTCGACATTCATGGGGTGTGATAACTCATTTCCTTTTGGGCATTTGAATAGTCGCCACCTAACGAGTTATGGTGCATTAGGGCACCTAGAGAGATTAACTCTTGGATTGGTTTGTATTATCAGAGACATAGGGTAAGGGCTCGAAATAACCTCGAGGGGAAGGTGTTAGGCACCCCTTTTGGTCCACAACTGTGGGTCCCGGCCGAACTTATATTTACAAATTAGTCCAAATAAATACATGAAACGAATAATTACAAATAAGGCATGTTTGTATAACTCAAATAATAAGACATAGGTTTTGGACAAGTTGTATTATAAAACAAAAAGGAATTTTGAAAAGGAGGAGTCCTAGGTTGATTAGCCTATAGGATCACCCCACACAATGTCAGGTAAACACTCCTCAATGAGGGGCTACACGTGACATTAGCGCGTAGTCATCATATCCCATATCTACCCTTCCCATTCCCTTAGTGGTCATTCAAAGCGAGTGTTGGTCAACAATTTCTATTGCGTGCTGTTACCCGTCCCTTCTTAATGGTCCTGGAGGGATTTAGGACCTTTACCTGTAGGTGGTTCTAGAAAGACCCCTAAGGTTTTAAAGGTGAAAATACTAAGGCGAAAAGCAAGAACAATTAGGACTTTAGCACATAAGATAAAAGGGAGCAATTAGAGGCTCAGGTTTACCTCCTCAAACAATACACATAGGCAGCACGACTCAAGCACAAATAAGGGCCTTTTGTTAAGCAATATCCTAAGGCATGATGTCCAAGTGAAATATACAGAAGACAGGCAGTTTATTTTGTAAACTCAGAAGTAATGACCCTAGCATGTTGCCTACTGAATTCTTTTTAAAACCAGTTAAACCAGAACAACATTATGTCACAGAAACAGTTTTAGAGTTGCAAGATTTGAAAACGTCCTATAGGCTTGCCTATACGCGGAATACTGATGACTACATTTTATATAGTAAAACAAGGCAGGTTTTTAAAACAGACTCTTTTGATCCCTATAGGCATGTTGTCTAATGATAGACTGAGGCAGTTTTTGAAAGAACTTGTTTTAGGGAAAATAGACCATTAATTAACTAGTTTCGAAGTGAGCTAATCGTTAATCGAATTGATTTATTTAAACTAAACTAGTTGAGATCTGTAGGCAGAATTTCTGGTGGCATTCCTTATAGGCATGGTATCTAGTTTTAATACTGATTTCAGAAACTTTGCAGGCATGATGACAAATAAAAAACATGTAAACACTTGTTATAACGGAAGCTGGATTGGGATTATATCCTATAGGCATGGCTTCTACTTGTTAAATTGATTTTAACACCTACAAATATGATTTCTATTATGGAATCACTTGAGACCTATAGGCATGACTTTTAACATGGTAAAGCAAGCATAGCAAAAAATGTAAAGTCCTATAGGCATGGTTTCTGGCATGGCAAGGCAATCATATCGAAATGTAAAGTCCTATAGGCATGATCTCTACCCGTACTACCCCACAGATATGTAACTACCCCCTCCCCCCATTTCACTAGTTGCCCCAATATTCGTTTACAAATTATTACAGACCATATGAATGAATTACATAAGTAGATAAGAAAATAAAAAGTTATTCTATAGGGAGCCTAGAGATAGGACCGGATTTCCAAAGCCTCAAATGCCCAAATTCCATAGACAATGTCATAGTCTAGGTGCATCAAAGTTCCCTAGGGATCTCAAGGATCCCGGGCAGTGCTTACACCTAGACTTGGTAACCAAATTAAATAAGTGCAGTGTGGAAGGGCCAGCCTCAGTATGCCAGAGTTCAGAGGGTTCTCAAGAGGATCCCAAGGCAGGACACATACTGGAGGGGGCAGAACTTACTGACTTAGGAGTAGAGTAAGAGTGCTTGACACAATTTGAAAGGTCTTAGTAGGAAAACAGCATTAAAAGGAGGTTTGTTTGAAATAATTTGCAGAGTAAATGAGGGAGTCATTCAGTAAAACAACTTTGAAAAGAGAGAGTTACATGATTAGACAATAGCAAATCAAACATGGAGCCCAAAAACACATCAGTAATACTCACAGGACCAAAACAGGAGGAAAGAACCTACATACAGGGGTGATGGGGATTGGGGATACATAGAGCACATGATTGTAAACACATAACAGGCAAAGGTCTTAGAAATTGGTACAGACATGCTCAGACACAACTGATCAGCCATAGTCACAGAACCAGCAATGCTTAAGGGGGTTCAGTATAGGATCCACATGATTTAATATCAATCTCAGAACCATACAAGTTCAGGAGTGCAGACTACGTCACAAGGAGACTCATACCAGGAACTAGATAGAGCAAAATCACATGGAGACAGACTACATAGGGGGGAGGTAACATGTTCATACTAATCCTAAGGAAGGGGAGTACATAACATGCAAATCATGTAATCATATTAACTGCAAGTTTCACAGCAAAACCATAAGTAAAAGCAAACTAGAAACAGGATGAACTGAAGCAATAAAAGAACCATATTGTTGTTGGAACTTGAATTAAAACTAGAACATACCAGTAAAGAAGACAGTAAACAAAAGTGAAGGAGCAGGAGAGCACAATAGTTAGCATTGGCTTGCAGCCGGCTAACTCAGAATAATAGCAAGTAGCACAAAAGAGAGAGCAGAAAGTTTAAGTGTGAGAGAGAGCTTTTTGAACCAAAAATGTGCGTGTGTCTGTGTTAATGAGAGAGTGTGTATATATAGTAGTTCGAAATTAGATAAAAATAAGGTAAGAATCATAGTAGCATAGTAATTATGGAACTCAGAATCAATTAGAGCAAAATCAGGACAAGTACTCCCTTAAGTTAAGGGAATTAATTCATACGGTAATAACAAGTAACAGATAAGGAAAGAAATCAGTGTATGACTAATAAGGAAAGATTCAAATTCAGTAAGTATAGGGTAAACAATTAGGGCTAAGTTCAGAACACTCTAATTAAGGAAATAGTCAGTAAGAATAAAGTACCACAGCAGACAAGGAAGGTGAATCAGTTAATTCGAATAGAAGAGGTAGAAATTGAGGGTTTAAAGGAAGGTCTTTCAATCAAACCATAAAAATAGGGAATCCAGAATCAATCAAAGAGGAAGTCATGATTCAGTATTCAGCATATAAATAGAGAAGATAAGAATAACCAGACATAGCAAACATGCAG